CTAACAGAATAAGAGTCCCTTTTGGGGTTTGTAGTCTAACTGATCATCTGAAAATGAACATAACAACCAAGGCATGATCTTATTGCTAAGGATCTTCTGGATGAAACGTTACTGTTCTGTGACCTCAACTCAGTGTTCAGCACAGGAGCACAGCGGCAGAAACCATCCCCTCTTCTGTACACAGGAGTGATAACCATGACTTCTGCACACAGGGCAGCAACTGTGCCCTCTTCTGCACTGGAACCGGAAGACAAGAGGAAGCACTGGTCTCCAGCACTTGCTGCACACACCTCTGCTTAGAGGATTCCACTGCCCACCATCTTCTGGCATTGGTTGGCAGGATCAGAGGGCTTCTACTCAGCCAGAACCTTCTAGTCTCAGGGTGCTGAGCAATTCTTCCAGATACAGAGTGAGGTGAGCCACAGAACCTGCCTCTGAGGAGCCCAGAGGACATGGGAGGACTGTCGAGTTGAGGTCACCAGAAGTGACCTCAGTCCCTTTAGATGGGAGGCACAGGGCCCTGGAGGAAAGCCACCTATTGTACCTGAGGGGGTCAGGCTTGTCTGTATAGAGCTGGCTATGGAAAGAGCCTTGAAAGCAGTGAGTTATAGATATTTACAATAATGATGATTTCCCATGTACTGAGACTAACAAATGAGGCCCATTAGACTTGATCCCCACTCTCAAAGACTCCCTATTAGAAAGGACATGGAGAAGCTTGGCTGAACAGGCAGTATGGCCTGCATGGGCACAGAGGTCAACATGGTGGAGAGCAGGCAGGAAAGCTCTGAGCAGAGGCTGTGGGAATTACCAACGGGGAGAAAGAAAAGCCTTTGGAAGCTGAGGAACAGGACATAGAGAGAGCAGGGCTCCCAATTCAGACACAAGCTGTAGGTGAGGTTGGCCATGGAGAGGGAGTCAGTAGAGTTGGGAGGCTTCTAGGCCTCGGCTGGGCCTGTGGCTCTGATGTCTAGGGCTTGCTTGCAGCTCCAGCTGGACTTGCATAGCAAGGACTGTGAGGAAAGGTGGCTTTGAAAGGTGTCATTGCAGGGTCCAGAGGTCCAATTACATAAACCCCAGGAAACATCCAAGCAAGGTCTTGAGACCAAGAAATGGTCCATCTTGTTCCCAGTCCTGTCCTCCTGGTAAGCCTGAGAAGCCACTGGGACAAAGCCCGTGAGCTTCATTCTTCTCTAGTCTGCCTGAGGCATCAGGCATGAACAGTGTGTTGCATGGGATTTGACAACTTTGAAGAACAAGACAGCCTGATGCACTTCTCAGAACAGAATGGACTCAGGGCGTCACTTCCAGTAAGGTGCCATAGACTATACCTTCCGACACTCACCCCACAGTTTAGTGTTAAACAGTGGTTCTCGACCTTCTTTGTGCTGAGCCTCTTTAATACGGTTCCTCATGGTGTGCTGACCCCAACCATAAAATGATGTTCATTGCTACTTCATAACTACAATTTTCTTCCTGTGTTAAATTGTGATATAAATATCTGTGCTTTCTGATGGTCTTGGGTGACCCCTGCAAAAGCACAGACCTACAAAGGGTCTCAAGCCACAGGTTGAGCAGCACTAGTTGAGAACAAAGGCCACTTCCAGAAACAACTGAACCACTACTGTATTTCCTTTCTCTCTCTCTCTCTCTCTCTCTCTCTCTCTCTCTCCCCCTCCCCCTCCCCCTCCCCCTCCCTCCCTCCCTCTCTCTCTCTCTCTCTCCCCTGACAGTGTCTTTCTACATAGCCCTTGCTGGCCTAGAACACACTACCTAGACCAGGCTGACCTTGAACTCACAGAGATCTGCCTGCCTCTGCCACCACTCCTACTCACTGCTCCAAAGTTAAAGGATGTCAAAGTGCCTCTTTCTGAGAATGCCAGCCACCTCCCCCCAGGTCAGATCCAGGTCTAGCAAGGCTTGCAATTGACCAGTTGTGTGACCTTGAATGGTAACTAAACACACTGAGCTCTTGCTCCTTTGCATGAGAAAGGAAAACAGGCTTTTCCTCCCTGGTTGCTACGAAGTGGAAGAGAGGCTGCTGTTCGTGTGTTTAACACATGCTGCTTCTTGCTTCCATAACTGTTGTATTTCTCTTTGTATGTGGTTCTGACAGCCCGGGAGAAGGACACATTAAGAGAACACCAGGATCAGGAGGGAGGAGGGGAAGGAAAGGGGCACCGGTGGCTGATGAGATGCCACAGACTCTTCCTGTGGGAACAAAGGTACCTTTTGTTTCCAGGAGGGTCAAAATGTTTGCTCGACAATCTTGGACGGCAGACAAAAGCAAGATCAATATCCTGGATGCTTGTCTCTACGGCCAAGTCTAGATGAATAATGCTATCGGGGACTTTGACCCAGACAGCCACACAAAGTGCCCTGGGTCTTGACATGTCTTTATCCTCACTAGGCGTGCCACTGTCGAGTTCACATGGAGTCACTTCCATAAAAGCAGCCTTCAACTGGAAGCCTGCAAGCACTTTCCAGGCCCCGGAAGAGGCAGACAACAAGCCTCCTAGGCTCCAAGAGCTGGCCTCGTTGACTAGTCAGCAGTGTCTAGCATTTTAATGAACATTTGTTTCTGATACACTCTGTCAACTAGTTGTGGGAATATGGACACCCAGTTGCTTTTCTAAATTCAAAGCTGTGTTGTTTTCACACACAGAATCTGAGGCCTGGACTCAGTTTACACTGCTTACCACAACTGGTGCCTGTTTTACCTTAGGGGTCTCCTGATGCTGAACTCGGGTGTTTTCAGATGAAACCATTCCATCTGTGCAAGACTGCAAACAAAGGCCCCATGAATCCGTGGAGCAAGAGGGGCAAGGTGGGGCCAAATGGAGGGAGATGGGTGGTGGAGTGAGTGGATCCCACTCCAAGTGCTCATGCCCATCACACGACACCGCTTGAATCTCAGATTCAGTGTCTCAGAACTGAGGCCAGGACTTAGGCACACGGACAGCTGAATACGCAGGACCCGGAACTCACTGTGCACACACCAGGCTGTGCCCAGTGGTCACAGTGGGTAGCTGGCCCTGAAATGGCAGTGTGGGCTGCGGGCCACAGAGATGCAAGGTCCTTAGAGCCTTAGACAGGACCATGCGGCCCCGCCCTTGATCATCTTATTTTAAACACTGTTCCCAGGGACTGAGGGGGCAAGGAGAAACACTTCCTGTGGCGAGGCAAACACCAGCAATGATCATAATAATGAGAGAAGGCAAATAAGCACATGGAAGTGCATCGTCGTTTCTCAGAGATTTATTTCGTCTGACGAATCTGACACCGCAGGAAAAGGAGCACCCAGAGGGGCTGCGGCCTCCTCACAGGTGGGTTTGGTGGTGGGCTGTTGGCTGCTTTAATTTGCTGCTGGAAGTTTTTCCGTTCCCTTTTATAAATCTCTCCCTGGGCTTGAAAGCGCTATCTCCCTCCCGCCTCCCCTTTCCCCCCACCCCTCCCCACCCCCAATTCCGTGTTTAAAAAGCGAGCTTGCTCGCCAGGTGTGTCCCCCAAGCTCTCACGGCTCTAATAAATAAGGAGCACCTATAAGACAGTAGCCTGACTCGACTGTACAAAGGAGGGTATAGAAATACAGTATGTACACGCGGCCGCCGCCCCAGTGCTGCACCCAGTGACGCCAGCCCTGCTTCCCCTCCCACCGTGACCGCCTTCCTCCCGCTGAGGCTCCACGGGCCTGGAGGGGTGGGGCACCCGGACCCCTCCGGAGGGAACAATTGCTTTTATTTGAGTTAGTAAACAGATACACTGAATCACAAGGTGATTGGATTTGATTTTTTTTTTTAAAGGTTTTCTTCTCTCTCTCTCTCTTTTTTTTTTTTTTGAAAAATTTTTTTCTTTTCTTTTCTTTTTTCTCGTCAGACTGGGGCACTCCACGACTGTCTCACCAACTCGGTGCCAGCACACATGTTCTAGAGGACTCTGGACTCGCAGCTACAACTGTACAAGTGCACACAAGTAAATCTACCCTGTTATCCTCCACCCACTGATTGAGGATCGAATTGCACATTTCTCTTAAGCATGACAGGAGAAAGCAAACAGTGAAACAGAATCCTGGGCGATCTTTCTCACTTTCCTCTTGTTTTCATTGGTTCGCCCATACCATTCTAATTATCACGAAAGGGCTCTGCGTATGGAGAGATTGTCTCACTGACTTCCTGGATCTCCGAAAACCATCAGGGCTGAAATTTCATCCGCGTCTCTCCTGACGCCCAGCAAATATCCCCCCCCCTCGGATTATATTACACCTTGAGGGCATTTTGGTCTTCAGTTCGACACTCACTCTCTGTTCCCAAATGGGGCGCTATTTAGGGGCATTTCAAGAGAAAGCTGAGAAGAAGAAACATTTACCGAGTTCTCTTGGCATTCAGTCTCTGTAAAACCACAGTATAAACTATCCATGCTGCTTCTTACATCTGGCGGATCGAAAATTAAAAGGCATAAAAGTGTAACACTGAAAATATGGCATCAAAAAGGATAAAGGTGGCCTTTGTAAAAAATAACATGAAAAGTATATTAGCCAATAAAATATTCTACCTCTTCATTTAAAAGTGCATCGTGGGCTGGGGCAGATGAATCTGAAGCTTTGGGACTCCAGCACCATCCCTTCTCCTCACCAAAAAACGTGAACAGTTCTGTTCCTAAACCATAAAAGCAAATCACAATTCTCATCGTAGCAGCAAACCACAGCAGTTCTTAAAAAGATTTAAAAAAGACTCTTGTTTTCCAGTCCCTAACATCTTCTGGCCTCAGCCGTACAGCCTTGAAGATGGGGTGAGGAGAATACCTACATTGGTCCTTGTGGCGTGTTGGTGGTTGTTTGTTTGTTGGTTTATTTTCAACCAGCGACATCCCTAAGTTCCTCTGGGGAGAAGCAGAGACGGAGGGAGCAGGAATGCTGGGCCCCGAGCTTGGTGGGTCCAAGACGTGCTGGCTTCTCTGGCCTAGAGGCCACCAGGGAGGGCTGCTTCCTCCAAGATGTTTAATGACAGGAAGCTGTGTTATTTGCTTGAACTTTAGCCAGAGGGGGGTGGTGAGCTGACCAGCTGGTGTCATTGGATGGCATGACATGGTTCGTTCCACGCCCTTTCTCCATGCAAGGTACCCTGGGAGCAAGTGTTCCTGGGAAAAGATAAGAAGGAGCCATGAGAACGCACTGGACCAAATCTCTCCCCACCCACCTGCCTTCTCCCACCCTGACTTGCTGCAGAGAACCAGCCAGGAGAGAGCTGCAGCTCCCAGCCCCAGTTCCCCCAAAGCGGAGTCCCAGCTGCATGATTTCAGAGTTTCATTCAGTCTGCTCAGGATCAGCCCTGCCAGCTTTGTGTGAGCAACTGAAACTCGAGCCCTCTTTGGAAAACCATACTGAGCGTGATGGACCACGCCCATCCCCGAAGACCAGAGCATCCTTTGCAACCAGCCTCCAAATGACATGATTAACCAGCAGGAGGTCTGTGGAGTCCCGTCGGGTCATTCCAAAAACCGGGCAAAGTCATAGAGAGATCTGCAGACCTCATTGCGACCCTTTACATATTAACGCTGGTGTTTGAGGACTGAGGTCTCAAGGAGTCCATATTAGTAAATAAAAGTATACTGATGGAAAAGACACACACGCATGCACACACGCACACATGCATGCACGCATTCACATAGCCCTCGCTTCAGAATTTCCTATGGAGGTAACTAAGCTGGAGGAAATAGCTTACCCATCTGTGGGTCTGACCTGTCAAAGGTAAGCCACCAGAGCTCCTCACATCCAAGCAACACGGGAGCACAAAGTGTGCAGACACCAAGTCCCACATGCCTGGCGAACATGACCAGAGAGCCCAAACCGAACTTTTAAACTAGTTCTGGGGAATGCCATCCCCACGTTCACCACACACTCCTCTGCTTCCTTATGGCCTTCTGTTGCTTGCTGCCAGGCCCTTCATCTGAATGAAGCAGGGCCTTTGGAAAAGTCAGGCGTTCCCAAAAAACAGCCATTTAGAAGCCTTCCCTGACAACTGTGACACCCCCGAGGGCCCCGGCCTGTCCACCTCTTTCCTCTACGTTAGTTGGCTGGTAGGTCATCGGTGTTCCACGTGTCTTGTTAAATGGATGAGTTAAGCAGCTGTCTTCCACTATGTCCCCAAAGAGAGTCTCTCTGCCAATAAATGTGGTTGTCAGAAACACGAAAGGCTAAAATTTGGCAAATGTGAAGTGGTGACTAACGCAAGACACACAAACATCTTTACAACCACTGGGATGACTCTCAGAATAATGAGCCAATAATTTCACACAGGTGATACAATTTAGGATTCAAAGGGAGCCCCCAGAGATAAAACATGACAATTCCACTTTATAGAAGGAGAAATGGAGGCTGCAGAGCCTGAGAGATCCACGCGGGGTGTGCGGAACCAGGGTTTTAGCTTGAGAGCAGGAGGTCAGCTGCCTGCTGGGAAGACTCAGCCGCAGCCCCCCTTTGAACCCTGCTGTCCAAATCCTGGTGTTAATGGCAATGATAATAATCATCAGCCAAAAACAAGGTTTGAAATTCTCAGTGTGCACGGCAGGAAATGCCTGAGTTCCCCAAATCATATTAAATCACCAGAGCCGTGTGCATTCAATATGTATATTAAATAACCAAAGTGAAAATGCAAAAGGCCACAAATATGCGACGGGGGCGGAATTACCAGGCCATGGAAGTCTTTTCATTCGGCACAGGCAGCTTTGGATGTGGGGGTGTTTATCTATGAATGCAGAGTTCGCCTCCTCCAGCCCTCCTTTCTATCTGGAGGAGGAGACCCCAGAACAAAATCATCAAGATAGAGGGGCACATCAGAAGCCATAGGAGAATGCAGAAGAGCTGAGCAATGGAAAGCAGATTAGAAGACACAGGACCACTTCCTCTGGGGACACATCTTTTGCTCTGTCAAGCACAGCCCCCGGGCTGCTGAGGAGGAGGGGAAATATCCCCACCTTTGGGCCTGGGACCAAGAGTGGCCACATCTTGAGTTGGGAGGCAGGGATGGGGGCGGGGGAGTGTCCAAATTCTTTCTTTTAAAGGGAAAAGAAAAACTGAGGGGTTTTAGCATTTCCTTCTAGTGACTGGGAGACACCACCATTTTTAATTGTTGCAACTGTTCTATGATGTATATAGTGTTTTTCTTTAATGCAATCACAACCCAAAGTGGGGGGGGGGTGAGGAATATCTCTCAAATAAGTGTCTTTGTATTCAAATCACCATTGGACAAGGACCAAATATGCCCAGCACCAGCCTATGTGGAGAAAATGTCTAGGCTTTCATAAGAGACTGGGAAATCGGGCTTATAATGAGAGCCATTCTGGAACCTTAAGTACAGCGTTTGCCATCCCAAACACTATAATAATCATTATTATTCTCTGGTATCTATTATTGTCTGGTAAATAATATGTGTTTTCCCCCCAAGTTCCAAAGGGTGCAGCTGCATGGTGTTCTATTTTTTGCAGACCCAGGCCTGCCGCTTTGCAAGCCTACTTCCACGGGGCTTATTTTAAGAGAGTGCGCAGGAGACCATGTGTGCCCTTCCTCTCTCTCGGCACACATGTGCACCTGGGACATCCCCAAAGGCCAGAGGGTGGCAGTCTCTTTCTGCTGCCACCTTTTGAGGTGGGGGTTGGTACTAAAGACAACCTCTTCCACTGGGTCCAGGCAGCCCCCTTGTTGGTGACACAGGCAATAGGCTAGTGCCACACAAGTGTGTTTGGGCTTCACCTTCCTGGTTCTCATTGCGGGAGACCTCGGGAGCAGGGGAGAAACCGTCTTGGAGATTTAGAAAGTGGCCATGTCAGAAAGCTAAGGTCCATGGCCACACAGAGGACTCCCATGGAAAAACTGTCCCCAGTGTCTAAATGTCATCATCTGCACAGAGTGGAAGTACAGGAGAGGCATGCCCTCGCGAGTCCCCATCCTAGCTGTCTCTATGTTCCTGGACATGTTTCTCACTGGCCCTTCCCCATGGCTTGCTGAGGGAAGCTGGAGAGGAACTTCCTACCACATCTCTTATCTCCCTCGGGCCGATCAGGGCACCTTCGACAGAGCTCAGTACCAAATATATAGTCTTGCAGCTTAAGCAACTGGATAATAATCTGTTGTCACTACACAAGCAAGGTGCCCTTTCTGGGTCTTCAAGTCCAGAGTTTGTTTCCTTTGCTCTGAGTGGTCATGAGTACCCACATACACGTGTGAGCATGTGCAAACACACTCTTGTGGTAGATATTTCTGGAGTGCCTCTGAATGCAAAGGATTCTGGGAAAGTGTCCACACTTGAACCTTACAGTTTGAGTTTTCTCTGAATGGGTTTGTTTAAAGGCAGGATATCATCCATGTTTCCTGGAATAACACCACACACACACACACACACACACACACACACACACACGTCTTGTACTGTCTATTTCCCATATACAAATCCTAGAACTACCACTCTTGGTTTCTATGGGACATGGATGGCCACCTGTCCTCAAATTCCAGACATGCCTTCCCCTTCTACCCAGAAGAGTGTAGCAGCCTCTCACGGAATGACAATCACACACTAAAAGAGCTGAGAGATACTCTGTCCACCTGGCAAGTTCACAGGGGAAGCTTTACTAAAAACGTAATTTAATTACCCATCTTCCTTTGCCACAGAGATTTTTTTCAAAGGGCTAAGAGCAAAACTGAGCCTTATGCTGGGAAATTTTTCTAATTCGAATACTCTCAAAACACGACCATTCCCACTTGTACCTCTCTGATTTACAGCCTAAGATGCAGGAGGCTGTTGCATTTTGGGAACTTCTAGACAACCACTCGCAGTGGCCCTAAGAGAAAAAAAATGGTCTCACTTCAAACCCAACAGTTCCAGGGTAGCCTTTATGTGATGCGAGATGTCATCTTTGCCTGGAAGCATGCCTCTTTGAATCTAGACTAGTTTCCAACTTTTTATTTTTGTTTCATTTCTTAAATATCTTTGTAATTTGCATAATCAAAATCTAGTAGGCCTGTCCTGTCTGGCTTATTTATAAAAGGCAAGGCCCCTCTTGTCTGTCATATTTGTTCTCTGGTGTCTAAAACCCCATGGCATCGACCCTACGATAAGCAAGAAATGCCCGCTGCCAAGCCGGCTTGCCTTCGCCCAAGTATCCTGACCCTAGTAGAAATCCACTCACTTGAGCACGGCTGCCCATCACTTATCAGAGTTAAATACAGCCATTACGTGCTGGCAGAGGCTTCGCTGTTTATCTGGGACAATAACGAGTCCCTGAGGACAGACTGCTCTCAGGTAGCAGCGGCTATTCTGGGACATGCACAAGGGTAGAGCCCTGTGGTCAATGAACAGAGCCGCCTGCAGCAGCTGATAAACTCTGAGTTTGATGCCAGACTGGGGTTTCTTACCCACCCCATCGCAGCCAGGGCCATACAGCTTGGCCAGGCTTTGCCAAAAGGCTTCCCACCTCCCATGTCAACCTCTGTCATATGAATTTTGAAATGGCTTTTACCAGGCTGCACATTTTTAATCTTTGAAACGGATGTTATCTCTTTTCTTATATCTCATTGAAAGAATGCCCTAGAGGGGTTGGGGTAAACCAGCTTAGCCCCACACTGGCTTCTGGATTTCAACCTCATCACTCACCCTGTGGCTCTGACAAACTATTACTCATGTATATTTACTTTTTAAACCAAGTATTCTGCATCTATCTATCTATCAATCTATCTATCTATCTATCTATCTATCCATCCATCCATTTATCTATCTACCATCTGTCTGCCTATCTATCTATCTATCTATCTATCTATCTATCTATCTATCTATAATTTTTGTTTTTGAGAAAGTCTCATGTAGCCCAGGCTGGACTCAGACTTGCTCTATAGTCTCCTGCCTCCACCTCCCAAATTACATGCAACACCACACCACACTGAAAACAAGTGTATTGTCCTTATTTCATGTAGGCACCCTCTTCACACGGAAACAACACTGCTAACACATTGGTGATTGTCTTCATTTCACAGACAAAACAATTTGCCAGAAAGGTAAGGAGATGACCTGCTTGGAGTCACCAGCTTCCAGAAGCCCCAAGTCCACTATTCTTCCTCCAAACACAGGGAATAGTGCCCTCAGTCCACA